TTTTTATTTACCCTTTTCGCGCAAAAACTTCCTTGATTTGTGTTTTTTTTTTCCCAGGAGGAAGTGAGGGTAATTTTTTTTTCCCCATACATCCTGGCAAGTTCCAACACCGCATACCATCTAAATTTTTTTCATCACACTCTCAAAAAAGTCATCATTTTCTCACTTTCTTTACTACGGGAAATTTTAAATGGGAAACTTTTTTTTGGGGCCATGCTTACTTATTTCGCATTGCACTTAAAAAATGACAAAAAAAAAACACTTATTTATAGCAAAAATGTTTGGATGAATGAGCAGATGTTCCTCACTCGGCCAGCAACGCAGTTACACTGACTCAGCAATGCACGAGCATCGCCGCAGATAAGCGTCCAATACGGCCGATAAGCAAAAAATGGCCGAAACTGAAGCCAAAAAAAAGGCTGATAAGGGGAAAAGGGCCCGAAAACCCGAGGGTTCATTGTATAAAAAAAAATGTAAAAGGATGTTTAGGTTTCAAAGATGTTCATACGTGGTTCATCCATTAAAAAATTGTAAGTGGTTCCTAAGGCCATACTTATGTTCAGATTTTAAATTTAGGTCATTTGTAAGTTGAGGGACCTGACAACATAACTTTTAAAAAAAGCTTTGTTATCTTGCTCCTACAGGTTTTTTTCCCTTATGATGGTATATACATTGTAAGTGTGTTTTCTTGTATATAAACTGAAAAAAACTTTAATCCATGTTTCGGGATGAAGTATCCTTAACTGGTGGTGCACGGGTTTGCTTCAGCCATAATGGCCTCTTGTAATTAAAAGGCCTGAACCCAATAAACTAATCAACCAAGTACAGTGACCCCCGCCTTACGATCACTTCCAATGCGACCCAAAATTAGTAAGGTATTTATGTAAGTGCTTTGTACGTGTATTTTTTTGGGGGGTTGAAAGAACTAATCTAATTCACAATTTCCTTTTGGGAAAAATTTGTTCGGAACTGCACCTAACATACTTCTGGAAAAAATTATATCGTAAGGCGGGGGGGCCCCTGTATATCCTGTACACCCAATTTTCCTTTAGATCTTGGGGAATTTGCCTTAAAAAAATAACTTTTACCTATATTTTCATTTTTTTGATTTTTATTGAATGTAAAGCACAGCTACTTTTTTCCATTCCCCAATTGTCAGTTTTTTTTATTGGATTGTTCATTATGTATGATATGTTCTTTTTTTTGTACGTTTGGAGTTTCCAGTGCAGACAAGTTGGGGCAAGCCCGGGGAACTTGGGGAAACTCCAAATGACAAGAAAGATAAAAAGGGCTGCGAAGGGGCCGGCAGCAAAAGGGTTGGGGGGGACGAAGCTGCCCCAAATGATTATACAGTCCTACGTTCCCTTAAAGGGAGGCTAAAAAGACTGAACATTTTTAATATTGCAAATTTACTTATGGGTTTTAAAAAAATTAAACATAAGGGGCAATAATTGCTCTTTTATTATCTTATTAAAATATTTTGTATTTTAAAATTTTTTTTAAAGTTTTCCCAACTTTTCATTTCTAAAACACCAGGTCTATAAAACAAAAAAATTTATAAAGCTGTTTTATCTATAACTCTTACATTGTTATTCAACATCTCTTCTCCAAAGAGATGGCCCTGACTAAAAGCCTCCATGTAACCCAGTCTAAGCATATGTCCCATTATGGCATCATGGGACTTATAGCATCTAAAATGCAACATTTATAAATGTATGAATGTTCAAAGAATTCACTACACCTTATAACCTACATGTCTAAGGTTATCCTCCAAGCATTGTATAAAGTAATATTCTCGAATGCTCAGATTTCCTCAACTTGTTTGACCTCCAGACATGATACATAATGTCTCATAGAATCACTACTATTAGAAATTGACACAAAATCAATATATACTTCCACATTCATTCTGAATGCACAAATGATTAACATATATTAAAAAAACTGCTAATGCTAAAAAAATATCACTCATGCAGGAGTAAAATATTTTATTTATACTAACTCAGTAGAACAGTATACAAGAGGACATTTTTGACAAAATTTGTCAATAACTTTAGTAAATAATTGTATTGCTGAACAAGATCCTTAAATTAATTACAATGGTATCATTTCAGATTACGTATATGAAAAGCTTCTGTTGTCAGTAATTTCTGTCTTGTACTGTAAATTATTATATGCTGTATTAATCTACTTTTTCTTCAACAGGGTACACAGTCTGCAAACCCACACAATGATTATTGTCAGCATTTTGTAGATACTGGACAGCGTCCACAAAATTTTATTAGAGATGTTGGTCTGGCAGACAGATTTGAAGAATATCCAAAGCTTCGAGAGCTAATCAAACTTAAGGTATGATACACATGTTACTGTTTAAGGCTGATACAACATTTTGAATATAATCTATGGAATGGGATCTGAATGCCATCAGGCAAGCTTTGAGTATGAATAAATACAGTTGACAAAAAAATTATATACCTCATGTGTTTTATTCATCAATTTGTTAGTACAATATTATATAGTACCTATAATCTAGGAATTACTTTAAACTAGTGGATGTGTCTTCAGTTTCATAAAATATTGTTTTGATTTTTGTTTTGTTTTGCATCATAATTGAAAACGTTTTTTTATAGTAACTTGTTTTTAAAATCTTTCATGAAGTCTCTTGAAACTCCAGAAAGTTATCAGTTAGACTTTTGCCATTTTTGAGCTTTAATTATCCCTTGATGTATGGCAGAATCAGTGTCATGTAGTTAGATATACAGTGGACCCCTGTTTAACGATCACCTCCAAATGCGACCAATTATGTAAGTGTATTTATGTAAGTGCGTTTGTACGTGTATGTTTGGGGGTCTGAAATGGACTAATCTACTTCACAATATTCCTTATGGGAACAAATTCGGTCAGTACTGGTACCTGAACATACTTCTGGAATGAAAAAAGATCGTTAATCGGGGGTCCACTGTATTTTGAAAAAAAATCCCATTTAGCAAAATTGTTTTTACTTGGGTGGATTAACAGAGCAGCTTTCAAACAGTTGTATTAACTTACTCTTCAAGTAGCCTGGTTTTCAAGAAAAAAGGGGTGCCTTGATGCTGGTGAAAGGCTCTACAGTCAAGACACTGGAGCTACTCTCCCCTTCCTCAGATCAAACCTGATTACCTCCCATTCCCTAGATATTGTATGACCTTTAAGTTCAGAGCTTCCCCACTAATAACTAATATAATAATTAGCCTCACTTTGTTAGTATTGTGCTGCCTGGCCTCATGCACAATGTTTGGGAACCACTGGATTGATAAATTGTTATGTAATCTCAACCTTGTTATTCACCTTGTAAATAATAGGCAACATTTTAACATCCTGAGAGCTCATGGATTTTAATTTTTCTGATTAATTTTCCACTAAAGGAGGATGACTCAAAAAGGAAAAACTCACCACTTTTCTAACAATAACTGTTTTTTCAGAAGTGCACAGACATCACAATTCAAATTACCTCCTGAAATGCAACATCCCCACCATCCTTCAGAATGCAGACACTATATACTACCTCCAGATCTCCACTCTAGCTAACAGGCTTCCCTGAATCACTTCATTGTTGTTACCCTGCTCACACTCCAACAGAATATCAGATCTTTAAAACCACTTGCTTCCATTCACTCTGATGTAACACTTATACACTCCTGCTGGATACTCAAGACCCTTCCAGATAAACCCTCCTTCACATCCTTCCTCAAACCTTAAATGGGATGATTCTTAACCCTCTTTGCTTCTATCCCAGATATATGCACCCTTTTGGTCATCCTGTCCTGCTTAATCTTCTCTGAATCCCCAAATCTGTGCCTTCTGAATCATACCCCCTGCAGAGTCTTGTAATTGCTAATAGAAGCTCCTTATTCTTTACATGATATTCACACTACTAGTTAGCTGGATTCAGGTTCTGGAGGTAGGTAGTACAGTGCCTGCACTCTGACTTAGGGGTGAGGATATTTGAAGTTTTGAACTGTAGTATCAGCACACATCTGGCAAGACTTTGATGGCTTCAGTGATGGGGAAAATGTTTAATATTTTTTGGGTCACCCTACTTTGGTGGGAGATGGCCAGTTTGTTGAATAGAAATATTGCTTTCAAGCATGAGAACTCTACAGCTTTCTACTCACCACAGTGTTAAATTTAAAGCCCATGCCTCACATTCATATAAAAACAAAAGGTACATTCCACTTTTTACCTCCATGTATTCAATATACAATGACGGAGTGAGTGATAAAAGTATTTCTCCTTTTTCGGGTCACCCTGCCACTGTGGGAGATGGCCGCTGTGTTAAAAAAAAAATTACTTTCCTGCTTGTTTCTTAATAGCTCTTATTCTTATAATATTGTATTTCCTTTCCACATGGCCTGATCCGACATCAGGCCATGTGGTCGATGATCCCAGAACCATTAACAGGTAGACAGTGCTTTATGTTCTGTATTGTATATTGAAATACATGTGTCTTTCCTTCTTTGGGTCATCCTGCCTTGGAAAATGACTAATGTTGTAAAAATAAACAAAAGTACAGCACATTATGGCAATCCTCTCCTTAGAGTCCTTCGCTGGTAAAGGATTCTGTCTCCCAGGAATTGGATCAAGCCTGATTGCCACTCATTTTCCAGGTGCTGTATGACCCATAAGATTTTAGCAACTCTCCATAAATAGAATAATAATAATAATTCCATTCCTTCAGACTACTCACAGATTTCTCGTCTTTAGAAATTATTTACACCAAAATCTTTACACAATTTAATAATGTGCTTTCAGGAAATTAATATTTTTTATTCATTTATTATTATTTGTTCCAGTACACTTCACTTAATCTGTACTTCACTGAATAAAATATATTATTGACAAGTTTCTTATTTTCAGGATGATTTAATAGCAACAACTGCAACTCCACCCATGTATCTCCAAACTGACCTCCAAACATTTGACCTCCGTGAGTTGCCAACTAAATTTGATGTGATATTAGTGGAACCACCACTGGAGGAATATCAGCATACAGGTGTAAACAATGTGCAATTCTGGGATTGGCAGAAGATTATGGACTTGGATATTGCACAGGTAATTGTTTTAATTTTTTTCTAACACTGGCTATCTCCCAACAAGGTAGGGTGACCTGAAAAAGAAACATTTACACCATCATTCACTCTCACTGTCTTGCCAGAGGCATTCAGGTACTACAGTTTAGATGACTCTCCAACCTGCAAATATCCTCACCCATCTTTCAGAGTGTAGGCACTGTACTTCCCACCTCCAGGACTCAAGTCCGGCTAACCGGTTTTCTTGAATTGCTTCACAAAATGATACCTTGCTCACACTCCCAAAAACCATTTGACTCCATTCGCTCCTGTCTAACACACTGAGTTATTCATGCATATTTTTGATGACTTGAAAGCTATAACTCAGCCCTTACATAGAATATAAAACTAGAGAAACACTGCAGTAGGTCAACTGTCCCATGCTAGGCAGGTCTAATTCTCACTTATATGTTCCACTCCTCTACATCTTTATTACCAAATAAGTGCTTTACCCTATAAAAATATAAAAAATAAGAATAAAATGCTGCAGATGGCCTACTGGCTATGCTAGGCAGGTTTATGGAGAGGAGCATTGATTTATGCTTGCCACCACGAGATGGCTTTGGTTTGCTTTCCTTACTGTTGATAAAGACAGTTTTAGGACTTGTAGTTGGTTTTGTGCAAGTCAAGTAAATTTATGGGTATAACATGTTCAGTGCCTAGATAATAGGTTGGTAGACAGCAACCGCCCAGGGAGGTACTACTGTCCTGCCACGTGAGTGTAAAACGAAAGCCTGTAATTGTTTTACTTGATGGTAGGATTGCTGGTGTCTTTTTTCTGTCTCATAAATATGCAACACTTTCCTGTGTGTTTTTTGATAGTTATTATTCTTCTAATATTTAATTGCAATTTAAGAGGCCTGATCCGAGAATGGGCCGCAGGAGCCATGATCACCATAAATAATATTAAAATATTTAGCAGATAGCATGCATACTCCTGCCTCAGTGGGATATGGCCAGTTTGTTGAAAGAAGAACATCATGAATACTTCTCATATTGATGAAATAAAATTAGATAGTTATGTACATGTCCCTTCAAGCCATATTGTTGAAGGTTTTTAATACAACACATAGATCTCAACATTATTGCTGTCAATAAAGTTGTACAGGAACAGGTTGTTTGATTTTAAAGTGAGAATAACTAGAGCAGCTGGTATATTGTGATATTCAAGGTTAAATTTTTTTACGACAAATTTTCAGGTTGCCGCACCACGTAGCTTTATTTTCTTATGGTGTGGATCTTCAGAAGGGCTGGATCTGGGTCGTCAGTGTCTTCGTAAGTGGGGATTTCGGCGTTGTGAAGACATATGCTGGATACGCACCAACATTAACAATCCAGGACATTTGAAAAATCTTGAGCCAAAAGCTGTATTTCAGCGAACTAAGGTATTACAGCAACATTGTATTGTAAATTAGCATAGTTTTAGGATTTATTATGCAATAGATGCATTTTCCTATTATCTACCAAGCCCCATGGTTACTGAAGAAAGACAAATACTGTATAAGTGATACAGTGGACCCTCGGCCAACGAAGGCATCGTCTAATGATAAATTCGTCCAACGAAGCGTTTGAGCGTAAAAATTTTGGCCCGACCAACGATGAAAAACTCAACCAACATGATTCATCCCGAACCTGTCCGTCCAGCCTGAGCGCCTCAGCTGCCAGGGTGGACGGTTCCACACATGTATTCAATAAATTTTGTATTATTCCATTGTTTTTAGTGCTTATAACTGCTAAATAAGCCACCATGGGCCCAAAGAAAGCTTCTAGTGCCAACCCTGTGGTAAAAAGGGTGAGAAATACTATCGTACCACGGTCAGCTGCTGCTGCACCACCGTCAGCTATACTACTCGAAGATGTGGAGAGTGTTTTTGGTGTGGCTTAACGAGAAACAATTAACTCCAGAGGGTTAGCCACCCAGGATAACCCAAGAAAGTCATTGCATCATCGAGGACTGTCTAACTTATTTCCATTGGGGTCCTTAATCTTGTTCCCCAGGATGCGACCCACACCAGAAAAAAATGCCTGGAACTAGTACTTTTATTGGTGAATTTAAGGCCAGCAAAGGTTGGTTTGAGAGATTTAAGAATTGTAGTGGCATACACAGTGTAATAAGGCATGATAAAGCTGAAAAATTCCAACCCCAACAAGTGTTCAGTTGTGATGAAACAGGCCTGTTCTGGAAGACAATGCCAAACAGGACCTACATTACTCAGGAGGATTACCAAAACTGTTGTCCAGAGGGCTGAGGAAGGGTTGTTGAGGTGGTTCGGACATGTAGAGAGAATGGAGCGAAACAGAGTGACTTGAAGAGTGTATCAGTCTGTAGTGGAAGGAAGGCGGGGTAGGGGTCGGCCTAGGAAAGGTTGGAGGGAGGGGGTAAAGGAGGTTTTGTGTGCGAGGGGCTTGGACTTCCAGCAGGCATGCGTGAGCGTGTTTGATAGGAGTGAATGGAGACAAATGGATTTTAATACTTGACGTGCTGTTGGAGTGTGAGCAAAGTAACATTTATGAGGGGTTCAGGGAAACCAGCAGGCCGGACTTGAGTCCTGGAGATGGGAAGTACAGTGCCTGCACTCTGAAGGAGAGGTGTTAATGTTGCAGTTTAAACTGTAGTGTAAAGCACCCTTCTGGCAAGACAGTGATGGAGTGAATGATGGTGAAAGTTTTTCTTTTTCGGGCCACCCTGCCTTGGTGGGAATCGGCCAGTGTGGTAATAAATAAATAATAAATAAATCATTTTAACATTTATTTATGTAGTTATTGTGCATGTCTCATAGTTTTCTTTGCAGGGAAATGTATATTTCATGAAAAAAAAAAATTTAATACTTTTGGCTGTCTGGAACGGATTAATTGGAAAATTAATTCGACTAACGATAAATTCGCCTAAAGATAAGCTCTCTGGAGCGGATTATTATCGTTGGTCAAGGGTCCACTGTAATTCAGTTCTCTCTTGAAAAATTAAAATTCAAATGCTCTCAGAGTCTATTAATGTATGGTATACATAGCCTTTTGAACAAGGTACTTAGTACCATTGTAAACTCAGCTTCCAGATGAAAATAATCGAGAATAAACAGGTGTCCATGCACAGCAAATTCATGGGAACATCACTTCTCAGTTATGACCTAACTAGCATGTGTAGTAACCTTAGCTAGTACAACCAATAGTATAAAGAATAAAGAACACACATAGGAGACTGAAACTTATGATGATGCTTTGGTTCAACAATTAGTTACTAGTCCAAGTCGGACTGATAAGTCATAAATTTTATTCTCCTATATACTGGTCATTTGTGTAACCAGTAGTATCATACAATCCCCCAACCCCAGTTTCTGCCCCCAAGGGTTAAAGAAAGATCAACCAGAAATAACATACTTCTAATATATTTACATACCCTGCGTGAAGGCTTTCTCAGCCCTGTAACAACTTCAGTCAGTATTACTAAGGCTGGCTCCTCCTCAGGAAAATTAATGAATAGAAAAAGAATAAAAACTGACAAACATAAACACTTTATTATTTAGAAAATATAAAATATAAAATACTTAAATATGAAATATTTATCCTACTTTAAAGAAAGATGAAAAATGAAAAATATAAATGATATCTGAATTCAACACTAATATATACAAGTAAACTGGGGTGTCTGGTTGATGTTGACACCGTCTTGTAGAAAGTGTAGCCGTTACTGATGATGTGGGGGGGCTCACAGGTGTTGGTGACAACCCAACGGCTAGTTCTTCACAGAGTCTAGCCTTGAATAGTCAGTCCAGATGACAGGAACTCAGGTTCTTTACCACTGCAAAGATGAGGGGTAGTGTCCTGTACAATTAATCAGGTAGGTAGATTCAACACGTGACGTCTCTGGACGTTAGTCCGTCTCCTTCAATACTTCTCGTTGGTTGGCAGGTGACCCAATCTGTCATTCCAAGCTGGAAAGAGAGACAGGTTACCCACTACTTAAGAAATCACTCTCCATGATACCTTAAAGACGTGGTGATTATTAAAACATCTAACAGAGATCAAGGCTGAAAGGACTAAGTTTATTATTGGTCAAAAGTGAAGCTTTCAGCCAATAAGTCCACTAGAATAGGAGCAGGCTTGTACTTACAGTTGTGCTGGGAGCTGTGAGTCGAGTGATTACCGTTTGGTCGGAGCCCCCCATGTCACCTTTTGGGGGGGAAGGGGGGGATAGCGGGAGCTAGACTTACTCTACCTTAACAAGCAGCCAGCAATCAAACTATCGCTACCATATACTCGCTCGCTATTCCTATCTGTTGAACTTTTCCCTCACACTCCCCCATACCAAGACTTATAGTCAAGGAGTATAAGAAGAATAGGCGAGGAAAAAGTTCTAACATGTGGAAGTCGCATAAGGCAACAAATCTACTGACTGTCACGACTTAACCAGTCAGAGAAATAATTGGAGGAACCATTGATATACACAATATGGAACTTAAAAGCTTGGAGTGCCAATGTCCACCTCAAGAGACGACTGTTGGTTCCCTTAAAAGTTTTTAGGTATATCAGAGGTTTGTGATCGGTCTCTAAAATGAATTCTTCACCCAGTAAATAAAATTTAAGCTTGGAGATACCCCACACAAGGGTCAAACATTCCTTTTCTATGGTGGAGTATCTAGTTTCTGCAGGAAGGAGTTTCCGGCTTAGGAAGTATACAGGGAAGGGAGTACCATCATGGTATTGTAGTAACACAGCACCTAATCCAGTATTGGAGGCATCAGTTTTTAAACAAAATGTTTTATTAATATCTGGAATCTTAAGTATAGGGTCTTTCGAGAAGATACAGTGGACCCCCGGTTAACGATATTTTTTCACTCCAGAAGTATGTTCAGGTGCCAGTACTGACCGAATTTGTTCCCATAAGGAATATTGTGAAGTAGATTAGTCCATTTCAGACCCCCAAACATACACGTACAAACGCACTTACATAAATACACTTACATAATTGGTCGCATTCGGAGATGATCTTTTATGGGGGGGTCCATGTATTTTTAAATTCTTAAAACTTTTCCCGAGCACTTTGGGAAATTCAAAGGCCCCTTCAAGATTTTTTTAGGAAGTGGATGTATGCTGTGAATCAGTAAGGTTAAAGTAAACGTGCATAAAAATTTTACAAAACCCAAAAAAGGTCGCATGAGCTTTTTGGGTTTTTGGGGAATTTAAAATTCTAAAAAGCTTTGTTTTACGGGGGGAGAGGCTGAAAAATTTTTTAAAAAAGGGATCGCCCTGAGTATTTAATCTTTTAACCCAAGGAAGCATTTATGGGTTTGGCATGGGGCCCTTTGGAGGTAACCTATGAAAAAACGATTTTAAATTTTGGATAGCTTGCCCCTGGGGAATTCATTACTAAATTTTTATCAAATAAACGAAACATTGGCAAAATTACCCAAGACCTTTCTCTCAGTCCATGGACACAGGCTTTTAAGATAAGATAAGATTTCGTTGGGATTTTTAAACCCCGGGGGTTTAGCCACCCGGGATCCCCCAAAAAGTCAGTGCTCATCGAGGACTGTCTAACTTTTTTCCTTGGGGTCCTTAATCTGTCCCCCCAAAGCGACCCACACCAGCGACAAACCCTAAAACCCATTTGCTGCTAGGGGGAAAAGGACAAAAGGTGAAGGAAACGTGTCGAAAAGTTTCCACCCGCCGGGAATCGAACCCCGGGCCCCCTTGGAAGCAGAGCTTTAGCCACCAGGCCCCCGAAGGGCATATTCTATCTCTCAGTCCTTGATGGGTAGAAGGCAGTGACTGCTGAAGAAGGGCTAACATTACTTGTGATATGCCTGCGCAATATCAACTCTGAAAAGAAGGGAAACGTAAAAAAAATTTGTTAACCTATCTATTTAAGGGCAAGGCTCAGCATCCCACAGAGTTATAGCATTAAGGCCCCCTGAATCTAGCAAGTCATAAATTACCTCCTTCTTAAAAAAGACTACGGTTAGCAATAGCAATACTGAAGGGTCAATATCTTAGTTTTAATAATTGTCTACCCTCATCAAAACTCCCCAAGGTGAACTGGAACGGGTATAATTTCCGTTTGATGGGTTGTCCCCTGCTTAGTCAAATCTTTGGACTACCCTGGAGGTAACACCTGGAATATCAGTAAAAACGTCTGAGAAGTTACTCACACATTGAAGTAATTCATGTTTCTTATGGTCATCCAAAGACTCATTAATATTAATGTTTGTTGCACCCGAGTGGTCAAGAGTCACCAAGTCATGTAGTTCTCTGTCATAGTCTATGTTAGAGGTGTCATTTACACACACCTTACACTCCTCAGTTGTCTTATCAAGTTCGTGTGGAAAAACTAAGTCAAAGTCATTCAAATAGTTAACCGAATTTCTTCGGTAATATTTCTTAAGGATGTTGAAAGGTGAAAACCCCAAAGAGTCACTGGGAACTTCCCTCATGGCAAACAAAGCACAGGGTAGGTAACGATGCCACTCCTTAGGTATAAGGGAGCAAAGTTTCCTTAAAATGGACTTGAGAACCGAATGCTGGCGGTCAATCCTCCCATAACAGCTGGGATGATAGAGTGTGGTGAAGAGAGGCTTCACTCCCAGAAGTTGGTAGAGATGTTGCATTAAGTCAGATGTGAATTGTGTCCCACAGTCAGAAAAAATCTCTCTAGGAATGCCAACTCTGGAGAAGATGGACAAAAGGGCTTCAGCCACCTCTGTAGTAGTTATGGTCTTTAAAAGGGTATGGCTTCGGGGGAAACTCGAAGCATAATAAAACTAATGTTAATTTTATATCTATGCCCCCCAGATGAAAGTGGAGATAAAGGACCAACGATGTCAATAGCTACTCTTTCGAACGGTACCGTAAAGATTGGCATTTTGACCATAGGTACTCGCCTGGTACCTCGGGAGAATGACAGTTGGCAAACTTTACACGATCTACAATAGGGAGTGACATCTGAGGACATTTTGGGCCAAAAATAGGTTTCCCTAATTTTATTTAAGGTTTTACGATGCGAGAAAAAGTCTGGCCACTGGTAGGTCATGGCCATTTTAAGAACAGTCTCTCTGCATTGACTTGGAACTACTAAGATGGAATAGTCTATCTCATCTGAATTTAATATGAATACTGATTTATACAATAAATGGGATTAAATCTGGAGTATCTGAGAGAGTTAGAGCAAAGGAAGGGGTAGCAGTAATGTTGAATGATCAGTTATGGAAGGAGAAAAAGAATATGAATGTTTTAAATGCAAAAAATTATGTGGATTAAAGTAAAGGTTGGATGCGAGAAGTGGGTCATAATAAGCGTGTATGCACCGGAGAAGAGAGGAATGCAGAGGAGAAGAGAGGATTTTGGGAGATGTTAAGTGAATGTATAGGAACCTTTGAACCAAGTGAGAGAGTAATTGTGGTAGGGGGGCCTGAATGCTAAAGTAGGAGAAACTTTTAGAGAGGGTGTGGTAGGTAAGTTTGGGGTGCCAGGTGTAAATGATAATGGGAGCCCTTTGATTGAACTTTGTATAGAAAGGGGTTTAGTTATAGGTAATACATATTTTAAGAAAAAGAGGATAAATAAGTATACAAGATATGATGTAGGCAAAATGACAGTAGTTTGTTGGATTATGTATTGGTAGATAAAAACTGTTGAGTAGACTTCAGGATGTACATGTTTATAGAGGGCCACAGATATATCAGATCACTTTCTAGTTGTAGCTACACTAAGAGTAAAAGGTAGATGGGGTACAAGGAGAATAGAAGCATCAGGGAAGAGAGGTGAAGGTTTAAAACTAAAAGAGGGGGCATTTAGAGTAAGATATAAACACTATTTGGGGGATAATGGGCTAATGAGAGCA